TCAGACCTCTAAGGAAAGTTCTCCAGATGAATGATTTTGGTCAGCAGTCATGTATACCCAAGAATACTAATCTGAATCATGCTTATCCATGAGAGCAATTAAAGATGGAGAGGCAGGGCATACTGACAAGCATGTGACAGTCAAAGATAGAGCCCAGGGCTGCACTGAGGACTATACATCAAAATCAGAAAACTCAGATCCAATCCAAAGTACTCTCTCTGACTTGTAGGACTCATGACTCACAACCCTGCATCTGAGGACTTGCCTTCCCTTTCATAAGCTTACAACAGGGGTCTTCAAACTTGGACCTTTTATGACTTGTGGACTTCAACTCCCAGAATTCCTCAGCCAGTGTGGGAGTTGAAGTCCACAAGTCATAAAAGGGCCAAGTTTGAAGACCCGTGGCTTATAACAATACTAAGATTTTAAGCACACATTCCTTTTGGAAAGTCTCCACCATTTAAGTTATGCTCTTTTCAGATCTGCTCTGAAATACTCTCTCCAAAGGTGCTCATTCACCTGCCCCCTATTTTAATTAGCTTTGCTGCTACTTTTACGTGAGTATGTCAGTTTCTGTTTGTAAAGCCAGTTCTTTACAGGTGGCAGTTCTTAAGAGGAGAAGCATTTCAAAAATAAGAGTCAATAATGCAAGTGAAAATGAATTGAACATATTTTTTAAAATTATGTAAATAAAGAATGCCAAAATTTCACCAGATTTCTAGTGGGGACATATTTTTTGCAATATTTGATGACCTATGAGATCTGGATCCCTTTAATTTTTTAAAATTATGTTTGCAGTTACAATGCAACTCCCCTGAAGTATTCTTGCAGGCAACCCTTGCAATTCATAAGCTGGAAACCACTGTCTTAAAGAAATTATTGATTCTAATAATTCACCCAATCATTTTCCCTGTAGCCAGGATAGCAAAGACTCCTTTGATACCTCTTTATGGAGTATATCCAGAGATGACTGTATACTATTTATGTAGTACTCAGGAGAAGAACGTACCTATGAAAGAAAAGGATAACAGTGAATTTTGTGCATAATAAGCTGCTTGTAACTGTTCCTTAGCACATCACTATTTATGCATGTTTGGCAATTGAGAGTTGCAATTTATATTAATGTGCACCTTTCACAAATGATATAATGGCCTTCTTTCCACAATATGTTTGACATAATCCAGTGGTTTTGAATCACCCAGATACAGTAATAGGATGAAAAGTAGTAATGAGTATCAATCTGAGTATGGACCATGGCAGAGAATGGAAGCAGTTCAGCCACTCTGTGGCTGTCTTATTGGGACTTTAAAAAAATGGATGACCATTAGATAGCAGAAAACTTAACTAACCATATCTCTTTGTCATCTAGCAGTCACCCACATTTTTGCAGCTCAGACATGGCAACTGTACCACATCTATTTCCTGCCCAGCACCACCTGGCTCTCCTCTGTCCTCCTCCCTTATAGAGGACAAAAATCAAACTGTGAGGGAAAGAGCTAAAAAGGCTTCCCTCCATTCATCTTCACCTGACTCTTCATGTCTGACTAGCTCTTGACATCCTTTCAACAAAAGGGAAAACCAATGCTAGCTACCACAAGTCCCGGAAGGAGAGGAGAGGAACAAGGTACACCAGCCAGCTCCAGAAACAGACCCCTTTCCATGTCATTTGTACCAATTGTGCAGCGTTTTCAAAGCATGACATTGATCTTATGAGAACTGCTCAAAATTTACTATGCAAGGAAACCAAGTATGGGACAGTTTGGACTGAATTTCCAGGATACCAGATCAACATAGGATCCACTATAATATTTATGATGTATATTTAGAATATAATCATTATTAGGTTGTTATTAAAATAAGATTATTTTATTCACTTCCTTTTTCTTGGCCTTTTGGCTAAGATTAAATGTAGTATTTATTCTTATTTGCTTAATTTACTTATCCTGATACTAATGCATAAAAATACTCAAACATTAGAAGCTGAACAAAACTTTCATGTAAATTTGTACCGCACTGCCAATCTTGCTGCACTTTGCATGCCCAAAATAGAATTAAACCTGTAATCCAAGGGAGACTGAAAGGTTGGAGAAATCAGGAGGCCTAAATAAGCATAAAATCTCTTTCCTGTAGGAGCTCCAAAAATTACTAAAAATAATAAATTAGAAGTAGCATTCAAATGTTATCCAACTGTTCCTGTGAAACCCAACCCAGAAATACATATCTAATGACATTCTTCAGTATGTTGATAAGAGCCGAAAGAAAGAAAGTTTATCACTTGGAGGCATTCACAAATAAGTACTTTACTGCCATCTTATCATGATTAATTATCAAAATGGAAAGTAATGTCAGTATTTTGATCCAAGTTACACAAGTGGCAGGTCTGCTAGGGATCCAAACTGTCATTAACTAAGAAAGGTACAAACCTTGCCTGTTTATTATCAGCTCTGTTGACATCTGCTTTTATCAACAGAAAATTATCTATAAAATGAAGTAGCACTGATATACTAATCAGTGGAAGTTCTCAAAGATACGAAATTACAGGAGATTAAAAAAACACTTGAATGACCTCAAGGCCCTGCATGGGGGACATGAACATGTACTTCTTTAAAATACTGATTCAGCAATGAACCACTATTACCCTCTCTAAAATGCACATGGTGCCAGGGAAGAATGGCTTGCCATTCAAGGTAGTTTTTTCACTGAGTTAGCTAGAAAGGATCTAAGAAAAGGTCAGTAGCAAGTGTTGAGTCAATCCCAATGTAATTCTTCTTGAGTAGAAGTGCAAGGTCTAAAGCTCAATTTCTTAGGACAGATTACATGTTCGTGATACTGTGGCAATAGAGTTGAGTTAATCTATGGTAGCTCATGAAAGCTCACGCCATTTAATAAAAGTTGGGAAAAGTACTACCAGAATATTTCTGATTTTTTTTTGCCATGTTTGCAATAGCTTCCTGCAAAATGAATGAATTGTCTCTCATTATTTCTTGTTGTCAACCTGAATGTTATTCAGGAGGCATGATATTACGTGGAACATTTCTAATATTAAATGAAGTCATGTGAAGGACAGATTCTATGAACATCATATTCTTACATATGTCACTGAGCACTTGGACAATTCCTACTTGCATATCTAGAGATAAGCATTTAGATCACATACATTTTTTTAAAAAAGTGGGGGAGGAGAAAATTGGGAAAAATATATTAGGAATAACTGTAAAATATATGGAAACTTACAGAATCATTACAATAATCACAAAGGTCATTTCCTCCTATAAAAATGGTTATGAGTTTCCAATCTTCTTGGAAATTTATTTTCTGCATTAGGAGAAAAAGGAAGAGAATAGACATAAAGAAAAACAAAGAA